CATGCTTGGCCACAAAGAACGCCTCCGTGGTACCGACAAGCCTTCTTTTGCCACCTTCTCTGACCACAATGCAATAAAAGCAGGAATTCAAAACCAAACAATAAACCAAAAAATTAAATCACTGGAAAATTTACCCCTAAATAACTCCAGTCAAGGGGGGATTGCGATTATCAGCATTTAGAACAGAGTGACAACTGGAACTCCACACTGCCAGACGCGTGGGACAGAAGCAAACCCGCCCCGTGGCTCTGAATGCTTTTGTCATTAACGAGGGTCACCGGAAGTGAACAGAGCATCCCGCTCCAGAAGCTAGAAAATAAACAACGAGCTAAACCTGGGGAGAGACTTAAAAGCAAAGGTAAAAATTAATGAAAAAAATAAACATAAAAATCAGTAGAGCCCTGGCCAGTATGGCTCAGCAGTAGAGCATCGACCGTGGACCAATGAGTCAAGGGTTCGATTCTGGTCAAGGGCACGTACGTTAGTTGTGGTTCATTCCTGGCCTGGTGGGGGTTGTGCAGGAGGCAACCAGTCAATGTGTCCCTCTCACATCGATGTTTTTCTCTCTCTCCCTTTTATCTGAAGATAAATATAAAAATATCCTCTGGTGAGGATTAAAATAAAAAATCAGTACAAATGACAAATCTAAGAATCGGTTACTTATAAGCTATCTAGACTTGTAAAAGCCCAATAAAGGGAGAGGGCAGGAAGCAAGTGAGAGACAGAGAGAGGGGGTGGGAGGAAGAGAGAGCACAAAACCCCATCATGAGGACAGTAAAGGAAATTTACCCAAAGAGGCAGAGGAGAGTTTTCAGATGAAAAGAGAACACTAAACACACACGGTGTGCTAGTTAATTTGGAGAGTTCAATGGAGAATGCCTGTGTATTAGTCAGCTCTGGCTGCTATAACAAAACACGACAGACCAGGTGTCTTAAACAACAGGGGCTCATTTCTCACAGATCTGAAGGCTGGAAGTCCAAGACCAAGGTGCTAGCGGGGTTGGCTACTGGCTTGCAGATGGCCACCTTCACCCTCCATCCTCATGTGGCCTTCCCTCCCGTGGAGAGAGAGATCCCCGTGTCTCTTCCTCTTCTTACAAGGACACCTGTCCTATTGGATGAGGGCCCCACCCTTATGACCTCGTTTAACCTTAATTACTTCCTTAAATGTCTCTCCAAATACAGTCAGGTGAGGGCTTGGACATGTGACTTGAGAGAGGTGTCACAATTCATTCCACAACTGCATGTTTTTCTAGAAAAACTGAATTGCCAAGCAGAAAACCACGAAACCAACTTGAAAAGGGACAGAGAACCATTTCCCAAAAGGGCAGGGGTCAGAGAGTTTAGTAAAAAAAAAACCTTTTCAACCTTTCAAAGAACGTTTCTAGGCCCTTTAAACCGCCCAGAAAACAGAAAAAATAGAATGTGTTTCGATTCTAGCATGGCCGTGATACCCATACCTGACAAACACAACCCAAAGACCACTCTGGCATCTTAACAGGGTCCCATGGTACGTCTGGAGAAATGCTGCACAACAAGACATGGAGATTTTCAAAATAAGGTCCTCAAATGGAAGGAGCCAGCAGGAGGCCAAACGGGCTCAGACGGGCAGCCTTGAGCAAGCAGCAGCCCATAGAGGGCAGCGTGGGAAATCCCGGGGCCAGAACTCAAGTGCTCAAGGGCCATCTAGGCAGTCCACACCTGTCTGTTGCACACGCAAGGAGCCGCAGGAGCTGCAAATGGGGTGGACACCCCACCCCAGTGCCACGAGCTTGGAGTACTTGGGGTAGCCTTATGTCCTGGAAGATGTTCCCAGGGCTGAGGGCGCAGAGTGGACTCTGACTGCTAAAGGCTATGAGGAGGCAGGCCAGCTCAGCTCCATGTCAGAAACCTAACAGTAGACCTCCCGGGGAGGTAGGGAGCTCCCCAACACTGCAGGACCACCCTCTAGGGCTGCTCTGGAGGGGACAGCAGCACCGGGGGAGAAGCTGGCCTTGATAGCAGTCTCTCCAAGCCTGAAGGATTCAGACTCATCGTGACTTTAATCCTCCTATGGCTCCATCCTAACCCATCATGCTAATTGCTGACCTGGCTGGCCAGGATGCAGTCTTTCATTTGCAGAAATCATTGTTTCTGCCCACCCCCTCCATGCCTGCATTACAGCCTCTCGGCAGGATCCCTCAAGATGATCAGTGTGGGAGGGGAGTGAGCAGACAGCAGACCTGACCTCGCTTGCATTACTGGTCATGGATGTGCAGACAGGTTTGTCTGCATCCCTCTCTCCCCTCGTGTTGCCATGGTGAGCGACCTGTCAGATCCCAGGCTCGGAGCAAACACTGGAAAAAGGCTGTAGGCTTGAGGACCATTCAAGATGCCCATTAGAAGCATTAACAAGCCCGGCTTTCCCTCTCTCCCTAATGGACTGAATGTTGGCCTGCCACACTAATGGGTGCTCGGCTGCAAAGAAACCGACAACTAATGCCCTACTCCTTACCATGTGGATTCTAATGACAGACGAAATGCTTTCATTAGCATCTCCATTCACAGACGTACAAATGCCTGGATTGCTGAGCCTGGGCCAGCCCTGGTCATGAGCATGAAAAAGGGTAGAGGACTGGCATACAATATCATCATTCAGTATTGTCAACAAACATCGCGCTGGGCTCAGGGGTATGTAAGAGCAGTTGCTGAACCACCTGTTAATGCCCAGGAGGGCCAATGTCACGGTTCCTTCGAAGCTGGATCACAGGCTTGGAGAAAAAGGCTCTCTGTCCTATAAATGGTGTGGAAGCTACAATTTACCAAGGACACCGCCTCAGCAAAGTGTAGCACGAGATATCCCTGGGGTGGGTGGGTGGCAGGGATACAGTGTGCATGACTCCACGGGCCTCTCTCTCCTCACAGGAAACAGCTTGGTTGGAGACACTAGAATTTCCATCAGTCCAGAGCAAGGTCCTGCCAGAACCAACAAGCCCCCCAGTGAGCACTGACCAAGCCATTTATCCCCCACTCTGAGCTCAGACGTTAGGTCTTCTCTCTCAAGGAGGAAGGAGTACATTGTAGTTGTGGAGAAAAGGGAAATGGATACTGGCAACAGAAGGGACAGACTGGGGACGTTCTTAGGACTCTTGACAAATTTCCTATCCTCCTCCTTCTTCCGCACACATAATAGGACTGTATTCTTTGATCCTTGAAGTTAGATGTGGCCACGAGACTCACTTTGGACACTGAAATTTCAGTGAAAGTGACATATATTATTTCAGGGGAAATTCGAGAATAAGGTAAGATGAACTATTTGAAGAAACAATGGTTCCGTATTTTCCAAAACGAATGGAAGACACAAATCCACAGATTCAAGAGGTCTAACAAATACCTAAAATGGAAGAACAAATACAAAAGAAATTCACTGTTGCACATCAGAGTGACACTGTAGGGAAACCAAAGATAAAGAAAAACATCTCTAAAACAGCCATCCGATAAGAAACAGCTTACCTTCCAAAGAAGTTAGGTATCGGCGTAATTCTGAATTCTCAGCCACAGTGGGAGTTAGAAGAAATTGAACTTGGTTTCAATGTGAAGAAAGAAAAGAACACAACTATAGCCTGGCCAGTGTGGCTCAGTGGTTGAGCGTCGACCCATGCACCAAGAGGTTGCTGGTTCGATTCCCGGTCAGGGCACATGCCCAGGTTGTGGGCCCGATCCCCAGTGGGGAGCATGCAGGAGGTGGCCAATCGATGTTCTCTCTCATCGATGTTTCTCTCTCTCTCCCTCTCTCTTTCTCTCTCTCTAAAATCAATAAAGAAAAAATAATAATAGATAAAATAAAATTACCAATATTGATATTAAGTTTTAAAAAAAAAAGAATACAACTATACACCGTGAAAATATCTTTTGAGGATAAGAGTGGAATAAAGACATTTTTAGACAAACAAAACCAAAAGAGTTGGTCAACAGGGAAGTCTAAACGGTGAATTTCCAGCAGAAGCGGCATGACCCCTCGCAGCAGATCCCAGGTTCAGAGGGGAGCAGACCTGAGAACAAGTGTAAACACACTCTGACCGTGGGAAATGACAAGAGCAATAGTCTTGTCAAGTTGTTCAAATTTAAGCTTAAAATACAGGGGTGGGCAAAAGTAGGTTGACAGTTGTGAGTATGTGGCACAGAATTTGTTCTTGTATTATTGTTTATTAATTATTGTATTATTTACCATAGGAACAACTATCAGCCTTCTTTTGCACATCCCTGTACAGGGAACAGTGATATCAGTTGAGGGGTAGTAAATGAAGACAAATCTTTGTATTATTCAAGAAGAGGGTAAAACTTTCATTAATTTTAAATCTTGATAAGTTACCCATGGGTGTTTTAATTTGTCGAGTAACAACTACTAAGCAATGAGAGAGTGTAACTTACAAAATTGTGGGAAAATGTAAAGTGTTTTATTTTTTAACTATGTAAAACAAGGAAAGAAAGGAGGAAAAAATAAGCCCAGGAGTAGGTTAGGACACACAAAATAAGAGAGTAGATTTAAACCCCAAAATATCGGGTATTAGATGTTTGAGTTTAAAGGCCAATAAATAACAACAGATGGCACAGTTTTAAGGGGCAGCTTTTCCAAAGCCACCCTGCCCTCTGAATGTGATGACTCGTGCTGCCCATTGTGACCCCCCGTGATGTCCCCTGACATCACACAATGTAACTGTCAGAATCAAGAGAGGCTGGCTCACACCGTCTTCACACCCCTGCGGGGCTGCGGGGGTTCTCCTGTCTGCTCTGTACACTTCAGGCCCACATGCCACTTGATAACTCTGCCCCCGTCCAGCTGCCCCCGACAGCTCCTCGTCCCTTTTCTAGCCCGCCCCGCAGGGTCCCTTCAGCTGCGTCATTCTGAGGCCAACGCCAGGCAGAGGACAGCTCCATCCTTCTGACCAAAGGACTCTCCCACGAGGAGCATTTCATTCTGACTCCGGGCAGTGAGCTCCCAGCTTCAAGAACAATTTGTCATGGAGCCTGAAGCCTTGTAAATGTGCCCTCACCACCCTCACCACCACATCCCGCTCGGCAGATTTCAGTGTCACCTGGCATTGTGCAGGAAAAAGAACCCAAGAAAGCCACAGTGATGGGCAGCTGCAAATGCCACGCCTGCCACGTGGTCCCCATCACGAAGCCGGAGGAGCACGAGGCAGCCTGTGTCAACGGGAGCCCCGTGGAGGAAGGGGCCAGCTTGAGCCCTCTGAAAATGAGCTTTCCAAGTGCGGAGCAGAGCGGAAGCACCCCTCCAGTGTCCCCTGGGTCCCCATCCCCGATGTCTGGAATATCGATGATACTAACAGTCATCCCCTGTTTGTCCTTAAGACTTTTGTTCCCCAAAAGCTCGTTTGTGAAAGCGACACAGAGTCAGAGAGAAAGGAACCCCTCATTTCTGACCACCCCCAGAATCTCTGACTAGGAGAGTAAGCCACCAGCAGCAGAAAGGGGCCGCAGGCCTACCTGCCTGAGAGGACATGCCCCTCCCCAGAATTAAAGGGCCAGGCAAACTACACCGGGATCGGTTGGTTTTTGTGTTTCGCCTAAGCAGATTGGTAAAGATAAAAGGCTTAAGAACATTCTGAAGGGTAGTTGATAAACTTTCCTGGAGAGCAAATTTGACAGTGGCTATCAAAATGATCAATGCACTATGCCTTTGTTGTTGTTGTTAATCCTCACCTGAGGATACTTTTTCCACTGATTTGTAGAGAAAAACATTGACGTGAGAGAGACACATTGATCGATTGCCTCCTGCATACACCCAACCAGGGCCGGGGATCGAACCTGCAACCCAGATATGTGCCCTTGACTCAGAATCGAACCCAAGACCCTTCGGTCTGCAGGTGGACATTCTAACCACTGAGCCACACCCGTGAGGGCTGCACTGCTTTGATGAACACATCTACTTGTAGGAATTCATCCTGTTAGACAGGATATAAATATCTACATCCTGTAAATGGCAAACGTAGGTTTACCATTGTTCGTTTGGATAATAACACAATGATAAATACTAATACACGAATAAACTCTGTGTTTTGGGTACTCACAACTATCAACCTACTTTTGCTCCATCCTGTAGTCACACTTGTGGAAAGTGAGGTAAGTAGAAGGTCATTCACTGCAGCGTTATTTGTAGCAGCAAAAGATCAGAAATGATCTAAACATCTGTTAGGAGGGTTGGATTACATGATGGAGCAGCTGTACAGTGAAATAGTATGTTGCCCTGAAAAAGAGTGGAGAAGTTCTTTCTGTACTGACATGAAACAGCTAGGACGTATTGTTTAACTCAGAGACCAGCAAACGTTTTTCTCTAAAGGGCCGGAGTAAATATTTCAGGCTTTGTGAGCCACATGGTCTGTTATGACTAGTCAGCTCTGCCTTGGTAGCAGCCACAGGGTATCAACATGAACATAGGTTCCCACAGAAGTACTTACAGAGACTGGTGACAGGAAGGATTTGGTCTGTGGGTCATAGCTTGCCAAGCCTAGTTTAAGTGATAAAAGCTAAGTCCAGCCCTGGCTGGGTAGCTCAGTTGGTTAGAGTGCCATCCTGACACACTAAGGTTGTGGGTTTGATGCCCGGTCAGAGCACATACAAGAAATAATGAATGCAAAAATAAGTGAAACAAGAGATGTTTTCTCTCTCTTTAAAATCAATTTTTGAAAAGTAGGAATTAACCAGTGAATGCATAAATAAATAGAACAACAAATTAATGTTTCTCTGTCCCTTCCTCTCTGTCTAAAAGCAATACAAATTTAAAAAGTAAAAAAGAATTTAAAATACATGTGGCCCTGGCTGGTGTGGTTCATTCAGTTGGTTGGGCGTCATCCCCTGCACCGAAAGGTTTCAGGCTCGATCCCCAGTGGGGGGTGTGCAGGAGGCAGCTGATCGACGTTGCACCCTCACATCGATGTTTCTCTCCTCCTCTCTCCAAAAATCAGTGAACCATTCTTTTTTTTTTCTTTATTGATTTTAAAGAGAGAGGAAGGGAGAAACATGGATGAGAGAGAACATAGATGGGCCACCTCCTGCATGCCCCCCACAGGGAATCGGGCCCACAACCTGGGCATGTGCCCTGACCAGAACTGAACCGACAACCCTTGGTGCATGGGTCGATGCTCAACCACTAAGCCATACCGACTGAGCAGTGAACCATTCTTTAAAAATAAAATATAAAATATATATGAACACATGTGAATGCATTAGCTGGTCAAAAAATTAAAATACCAATTTAAACAAACAAAGAACAGCAAAAGACCTAAGTCTTGGAAGGTTTTTCAGGAAGAAATTTTAACTGCCAAGTTTTGGGTTGTTTTTTTTTTTTTTAAGTAATCATAACTTTGCTACCCCTGACCCCTTCAACTATTTCTACAAAGGATTAAGAATTTCTTCTTGGAAAAAAAATTTCTGGGTGTTGGCCTTAGAAACTTCATGATGAAGTGTAAGGACCTTAGCATTGTCATCTCATGTACGAAGCAGTGAAATTAATCAGGGTCGGGGGGACACAGATATCTGAAAATGATAGGCCAACAGGGCCAGGACAACGAAAAAGTCAGGGGGCTTGCTATGAACGAAACAGACAGTCATGAGTCAATCATTGTTGAAGCTGAGTGGTGGATAAATTTACTATTTTCTCTACCTTTATATACATTTGAAGTCTTTCATAATAAAGTTTAAATATATATACATATTTACCATATACATACTACTGTGTACATGATGTGGACAGTTAGTGTACATACATATTAAATGAAAGGCAGTATCCTGGATTGGATCCTGGAACAGGAAAAGACATCCAAATAAAGTCTTTAGTTCAGTTAATAGCAGTACACCGATATGAATTTCTTGGTTTTGCTAAATGCACCATGGTCTTGTGAGATGTCAACGTTAGGGAAAGCCAGACGGAGGGTATGTGGGAACTCTTTGTATTATTTTTGCAAGATTCTGTGACTCTAAAATGATTCATAATGAAAACGTGAAACACACGCAGAGCAAAGGGCAACGCGATGAGTAAAAGAAGGAGCTCTCAAGCCACGTAGCTTACTGGCCGGTGGCCTCGAGCGTTGGTGACCTGGCCTCTGTGACTGTGTCCTCACCCACAAGAGAGGGAGGGTGCGCTCATCGGATTGTGTGGAGGGTTAGGACTTAACACATGAAGGATCGTTAGGATTTAGGACGGTGTCTAATACATAGGAGGCCCTCAGTTAATGTAGCCATGGTGATGATGGTGCTCAGCAAAAGAAAAAGCAACGGAGTAAGAGAAACAATGATGGGTAAATACATTTACGAAACATGTAAACAAATGTAATCAACTGAGAAAAATCATAAATTTTGCAATTAAAATGCTAAAGCTTCTAGGTAAAAATAGGCTCTCCGTGGACGGTATGGCTCAGTCGGTTGGAGCATCGTCCCGTGCACCTGAAGGTCCCAGGTTTGATTCTCAGTCAGGGCACATGCCTGGGTTTCAGGCTTGATTCCCGGTCGGGCAACTGATCCATGTGTCTCTCTCACGTCGATGTTTCCCCCTTCCCCCAAAAACCAATTTTTAAAAGGTTAGAGAAGAGCTTTGTTCAGAAAAATAGAAACACTAAATAATAGGTATATTAGAAATTTTAAAATTGTAAAATACGAGAAATATTTTCTGTATGTTCCAAACCAGAGTAGAGGAGAAAAGGGCTCAGATGATAGAAAACTTGATAAATTCCACAAAGAAAGGTGGTGGTGGGGAATAATAGAGAAAACACAAAATTAAACAGTAGAAATCAATCCATATATAGTAATAATCATATAAGTGCAAAAGGATGTGACACCTATTTTAAAAATTCATTTATCTCTCTACATCAAACACATGTCCATTCTGATCGATACTAACCAATACCTTTAAGCCAGAGATAGTAGTGAACATCTGAAATGGGTGTCACCACTACCCCTTTCCGTGCACATAACAGACATAACTAATCAATCCCAGCCCTCTTTCCTGAGCCTGGCCAGTACCTGCAGAATCCTCAATACAACGCTAGGCTGCCAGTCCATAACAGAAGTCAGCAATGTCTCGACAGAGCCCCCTAGAGGCAGTTCCCCACTTGGCCCACTGGCACCCTCCTCCGAGGTGCTTCCGAAGAGAGAAAACACAAGGGCTAAGGAGAAACTCCTGCCTGGAGATCTGGGGTGAAGACCAGGCGAGAGAGGAATGTCTGTATCTCTGCTCCCTGTTCCCACCCCCAGTCCTCAGACCTGCCTCTGCTGGGCCTGACTCCAGAAAACATCTGCTGGTGGCCACACTCTCACAGGGACCATCATAAAAACACTTGTTCACAGTCACGGCGACCACAGCAAACAAGTGCTGGGCTGGGCCCCAGGGATGATCACAAAGGAGCTGGATAGGGGCCAGGTGAAGACCGCCCTCCAGCCCTGGGCAGCAGCGCTGTCCCGGCCCCAGGAGGGCTCCTTGCGGAGGGAGGCCCACCCAACAAGCCGAGTCCTCGCACAGGGGGCCCTGGCAGGGCAGAGGAAGCAGGAGCGAGGGCTGCACTGGGGCCGGGCGCCTTGCAGATAGTTTTGTATGATGTCCTGGCCACACCACTAAGGGACAACTGTTTCTACTGCCAATATACAGACGTGAAAAGTGAGTCTCAGAGAAGCTAAATGACATGCTTCGGTTCACAAAACCAGTAAGTGGCAAGTGGCCTAATTAAATTGGACTCAGCCTCAGTAAGTCCAGCCGTAGATACGTGCAAACGAGAAGTGTGCCTGAGTTCACCGAAAGAGGCCAAGCTGTTCACGACAGCACCGTTTGTCACAACCAACCCGGAGACACTGCGGGTGTCCTGCAGAGAGGGTCGATTGTGGGAAAATCACCCAGTGGAATCTATAGGGTCAGAATAAACAAATCATAACAATCCAAATCAACATGGGTAAATCTCACATAATGTGAAATTCAGTTCACACATTTGAAAAAAAACAAAACAGGTAAGGCCCTGGCCAGGTACGCCGTGGGTTAGAGTGTCATCCTGATACAAGGTTGCAGGTTCGGGCCCTGGTTAGGGCATATACATACAAGAATTAATGAGTGCATAAATAAGTGGAACAACAAAGCAATGTTTCTCTCTCTAAAATCAACAAAGATTTTTTAAAAACACAGGCAAAACAAATCCGTGGTGTTTGAAGTTAGGATGATGGGTTCCCTGGACAGGTGAGGAGGGCATCTCTGGGGTGCTGGTCATGTCCTATTGCTTGGTCTGGGTGCCGGTCACATGGCTGTGTCCACTTTGTGGAGATTCACCCAGCTGTTCACTTGGGATCTGTGTTGAGCTTCAATGGAAAGTCTTTAAAAACAGAACTTGTACCTAATGCTTACGCCTTTGTCTCTGTGCCCTCTGCTCCCCTGGCTGTCAGAGCCCAAGATTGGACTCAAGCCC